ACGTACTTATTATATATATATATATATATATATATATATACATATACATATCTTTCCTGATTTGAACGTAGCGATGTCTGACCCTACGGGTGATCATGTAGATGCGTTGGATGAAGAACTCGAAGTAGAATCTAACTATAAGCCTCCACCAGAGAAGTCCATCGAACAAATTCTGGAGACAGATAAGGAGGATGAGAGTCTACGCAAATACAAGGAGACGCTTCTGGGAGAAGCAAAGTCTGGCGGTATCATAGTAGGTGAGTGTTTATTTAAATATATATATTCGTTACCTACGTAATCACGTGTGTTTAAAGTTACTTCACTGTTTGTTTTGCTTTCATCATAGTTAAATATGCAAGCTTCATACATATTTCATTCCATAACTCTTGCGAATTATGAATCCACAGAAATTCTGTAAAAATAATTTTTATATCCATATCAATATCTGTTCTTTTTTGTATAATTTTTCTATATTTGTTGAAAAATGTCTTACAACGATTTGTATTCAATACACAGAGAAATGATAATCAATTTTCTATAATATCGATAACAATTTTAATAATTATGCATAATTGTTGCAGATCCTAATGATCCTAGAAAAGTAATAGTAAAAAAACTGGCGCTGTGCGTCGCTGATCGGCCAGATATGGAACTAGACTTGACTGGCGATTTATCACAATTGAAAAAACAAACATTTGTCATCAAGGAAGGTGTAAGCTATAGAATCAGGATTGACTTTATTGTACAGCGCGAGATCGTGCACGGATTGAAATATATTCAGAAGACTTATCGCCTTGGCGTACCAGGTATAACGTTTCTATTTTTTTTTGCTTATTGATTTACTTGTCATTCCATATTTGACTTTATTTGTCAATATCATATTCTTAACTAATTGCAATAAATTCAATTTCTTGTGTGTTAATGCTTCTAATGCAAATTAGGAGTCACGGGTAAATGAAATATATAGTAATCTAATCTTGTAATATACGATCAAACAGATTTTATATGCATGATTTTTTTGTTTCAGTTGACAAGATGACGCATATGGTAGGCTCGTATCCTCCTAAAACGGAACTTCAGTCCTATACCACTCCAGCTGAGGATGCGCCAGCCGGTGTCGTCGCGCGAGGCTCTTACAGCGTGAGTTCTCTCTTCACAGACGATGATAAACACGAGCATCTTAAATGGGAATGGGCGTTTGAAATCAAGAAAGATTGGAAGGAATAAGTCTTCTATTCCATTCGGAACATAGAAGCCAAGGATAATTTACAACTCCTAGCCTTAATACACTTTGCGAATAATAATTAAAGACGTAAAAATGCCAAAATACAGACTCGGATGAATGATTTTTAATAATCTTTAGTAGTGGTCGACGTTGCCATAAGAAATTAATTACATACGTATTTTATAACGTACTAAAAGAGAAAGAATATAATCGATATTTATTAAGTTTTGTTCGTATAATTGGTTTAGACATTTAGTTATAAAAATAGTATTCGAGAATTACGAAGTACACACACGTACATATACATATATATTTTAGTCACTAGTACAAGCAGACACCAGTAGTAGTGATTTAAGCTATATATGACGTGACAAACCGGTATTTCCGGACAGATGAGTATTAGATGCGTAGCGAGTGAAATTTACAGTGAATGTTATAACCAACGGTTGATCCATTATATATATAAAACACTTATTAAAAGAAGAAAAGAGTGCTCTAAAGTATTTAGATAATATTTGTACAACATGGTTTTCGGAGAGCGGACAGATTCTGCTCAATATTTTGTATGTTTATCACATATTTGACATTTTCTACACAATGTACAAAATTATATGACGAATATCTATTACTTGAAAAGAAGCTGGCAAAAGAGATTGCAAAGAAAATCGTATAGTGCTTCTATTCCTCTCATTTCTATAATATCTCTATAAGAAGACGATAAATTTTGCGCTCTGAAAATTAGATTTTAGCTGAACACAATGCATATTTTAATTACAATAATTAACAACCTCGCAAGCAAAATAGATTCTAGACAGATTTCCGATATGAAACATACGTAACGCGCCTCTTCCAGTTCCCGCAGAAGATATTGGATGACAATTACACATGGTGTTTTATATATCGAGAAAATTCCGACAGCCATGTTTTTCTGGGAATGTATCTATAGCGAATATGTTACACAAAATAACTAAAATCGCTGAGAAGCCCTAATCACCCCGAGAAACGCGCACATCTGATCCGTGTAAAAACAAAAAAATGTGTATATCGTATGGCCATACAATGTTAGAGTTTGTGGTGTTTTTCCGATAATCGTATAACAATCGATCATGTAGGCTAGGATCGCCATGCATTTGTATGATAATGAGCGATGATGAAAGAAGAAGAATATATTAGAATAGACGTTTTGTACCTTTGTTACGAGCTTCACGGGAGAAACAAATAGATCGAGAATAGTTACCTCATTGGAGAAAGTGTCACAAAGTATATTGATATACGTATATGTCTACATAAAAATTGAGTCGTTTTTTCATTCAGAAAATTGTCATATTTTTTCATCTACGTATGACGTAGTCATATTCCGATTGTGCCCTCGCGTCTCATATATATCGCCGAGTAGAAGTTCCTAGGTTTCCGTCACTGCTTTCTTCCTTTTCCTTTTTTGTATATTCGTTCGCACCTTGTAAGTGAAGAGAGGAAAAAGAGAAAAAGAGAAAGAGAGTACGCGTCTTAGAATTCTGGGATTAATTAAGCTTAGGA